AGAGAGAGAGAGAGAAATTCTATGTGTGCATATGTGCTCCTCTAACTGCCTGGACCAGGGTTTCTGCTTCCATCTTTTCTCCATCCTCTGGTTTTGAAAACATCCTCCATCTTCACTTTTCTAATATTTAAAATGGGGCTGACATGTTCTGGATAGGCAGAATTAATATTGTTAAAATGGCCGTACTACCAAAAGTGGTATACTGATTTAATGCAATTCATCTGAAAATCACCATGACTTTCTTCATAGAAATAGAAAAAGATGTGAGGAAATTCATTTGGAAAAATAAGAGTCCCAGAATAGCCAAAGCAAAAAGAGTGAAGCAGGAGGCACCACAATACCAGACCTCAAAGGTGTGGGAGATCGTATTCCTCCTCTTTTTTGCCCTTTCTCTCATATTTCACCACAAGTAATCACAGCACAGGAACTGACACAAGTCATGTCAGTCTTGAGAGGTGACTATCCGAGAAGGGTTCCAGGGCACCCTTGGCCAGAGTCACAGGAGAGCACTCTGCCACAGGAGGGATCTCTGCCACTTTCCCCGTTTGCAAATGGCGAGACACCTTGGCCAGGCTGTCAGTTGTTGAGTGAGGGCAGGATCTGACCAGTCAAGGACTGACTGGGCCTGCTTTTCACTAGCTGTCCATGGGCTCAGCCATCCCCTCCTTCCCCTGTGTGAACACTTTTCCTGTTGGTGGCGAGCATTGCAAGCATACTGTCCACTTTTCCACAGAAGCCTGTTCTCTCAGCTTCAGTTGGCTCCACAGTGATTATTCTGTGTAATCTTGATTGAGCAGAGACCCTCTTTTATCCACGTGCCCTCACACGGATTTTCAAAGAAATTCCATAAGCTCTTTGATGTTTTGAACCATTGTGGCTTGTGACCCATGAGCCATGGAGTGTGAGCCTGTGTGCAGGACTCAGTCCATCTTCACCCTAATTGCCCTTCTGCATCTCCATCACTACTTCAAAAGCCTTTCCCTCAGAAAAGTGGTATTGCACCTTCATGCCAAAGGAAGGGTTAGAGGGCTCCTGGCCACTACCCACCTCCTAGAGGCCGCTGTTTGCCCAAGGAGAATCCATATTTCTCTTTCACCATCTGCTCTGCACCCGGTTGCTGAAGCCAAAGCCAAAGCCAAATACTGGCCCCAAGGAGGATGTCACTGAAATTGTCATTTGGTCAAAGGCAGTTGCCCACTGTTTGCCACTTGGGTTTTATCCAATTTGCTCTGCTTAGGGGATGCCGAAGTCCTGCCCGCCCATTATATCTTCTGGATCCTTATACAGTGCCAGGGTGCAAGGTTACAGGGCCAGAAATGTTGTCCCTTGCTCGCTCCACTGTGGGAAAAGCCAGGACCTAGGATTTGAGGACTGATTAGGGTGTGCAGGGTGGTTAAGTTTCTCTAATAGGGAAGACACACCTGTCTTGGAAGGAATACTCTTTCCACATGTACACCTACCTCTCCAAGGATGCCTGCCTATACACCAACAATAAGTCAGAATAAAGGGGCTTTGACTGCTAATTCCCAAAGTGCATATTCACCTCGTTTTCTCACACCTCCTGACCCTTCCGTGACATGATCATTTTCACTATGACCCTGGGATTTGGTGGAGTCTGAAAGCATAAGACTTTCCCAAGGCTGGGTGAAGAAGCCACAGGTGTCCTGCTGGTGGTGCCTGTTCTTGTAACACAGCAGTGTGGGCTTCCAACTTGGCTGGCCCTCTGTTCAGGTGCTAGTCTGTCACTACCCAGCCATGTGACCCCACCATCTTGCTTGAGAGATCTGGCCTAGAGTTTCTGCCTTGGTTTCCTGTGCCTGGTGACAGGCATGTTGCTGTGCGGTGAATAAGTTAGAGATGCTGCATGTAGACAGCCATGCAAGTGTCTGGCATCATTGAGGCTCTCAGCAAATGCCAGCTGCTACTGTCCCTAGCCTTGGAAAGGTTTGTGCTTTCTCTCTCTCTGAGTTCCCTGAACAACTGGAGTGTTCTAGGACCCAGCAACCAGCTTCACAGTCATCCCTGCCACTAAAACTGCAGCTCTCCCACTCACTTCAGGGAAACTCTGCTGGGTTGAGGCCAGTTTAGTTTTCAGATTCCCAGAGCAAAAGACGCACAGCTTGGTGCCCTATGTGCACACAGTTCAAAACCCAGGGATTTCGTTCAACATCAGGATGTATATTCTCTTTGGCTTCTCTTGCTCACCACCTTCCAGAAGCCCCTTTGTCTGCCCCTCCCTCAGACCTGTCATTCATTTCTCAGCCAACCGGAAATCCCGCCCTCCTCTGCTGTTTACCTAATCAAAAGCTGTTTAACTCTTTGTAGTGCTAATGCAGTGTGCTGGGAAGACTGAACCAACTGGCAACTGGGGAATGAGCCTGGTGCTTTGAAGGCCTCCTCCCGGGGCTAGGGCAGATCACTCATCCTTTGTTTCCCAATCCCCTATGGAGCGTCCTGCCTGAGGCCTTTGGGATATCTATTTACTTGTTATTTATTTATCCACCTATTCATCCATTCACTTTTTTGGTGATTGAACCCAGGGGCACTTTACTACTGAGCTACATCCCCAGCCCCCCCCCCCCTTTTTCATTTTGAGGTAAGGCCTGGCTAAATTTTAGCTCAGGCTGGTCTGGAACTTGTGATCCTCTTGTCTCTGCCTGGGATTACAGGTGTGGCCACTGGGCCAGGCATCATCTCTCCATTACTGTGTAGCTGGAGTATACCCTCCCAGTCTTTCTCCCCTTAACTGTGGTACTGCTGGTCCTCTGCTTTAAGCTTCTTGGCCCACACTTGCCAATGACCTTTACTTGGCATTTGGACATTTATTCCCACCAGGGCCTAAGAATGCACAGATTCAGACAGGTTTGGGGAGGACATCATGTCTTTCTCTGAGCTAGCTCGTGGTTTCTGTACAATGGGAGGTGATCATACTGACCTGCTAGGAATAATACATGGCATGCCTCTGGCATAGAAGAGGTGCTCAACACATCTCTGCTCTCCAGGTTCTCCTACTTCCTAGCTGACTTTCCTGGAGCTAAGTGACCTCTGTGCATCCCCTCTGTAAAATGGGGAGAAGTTTAATTGAGTCTTCCCCACCCTCAAAGGACTGGAGACTGCAGCCCAAAACTTCCTATTCTTTCATTCTGAGTTTTTTTTTTTTGGGGGGGGGGCTTTCTATTTCTTTATTTTAGGACAGACCCCTTTTAAGTGCACTGGCAGGCAGAAGCAGAAAGCAGGATGACCTACAGGAAAGCCCTCTGGAATTTCAGAGAACAGACTTGGGGTCTTGTCTAGGATCTGAGGTTTGCAGCCTCTCTGTCATTAAGTAGGAACCTGTACCTCAGATTCCCAGCTTGTGTATCTCTGGGGATGCATTGGCAAACTTGGCTCTCTCAGAGCGGGAAACATGCCTTTTCATTTTCTGTGCCCAGTTTCTCTCACACTGCTGAAAACACAGAAGGCTCGCACTAGTTTCTTGCTTGCTGGATGAATTTGGAGCTGCTGAGGGTTCAAAGCTACTGCCTTTGTTTGAAGTCTCATGGTTCCAAAGGCTCATAACTCTGGGTCCCTGAGCCTTTACCCTGCACCCAGTGACTTGAGTTGGCACTCAGCTGGAAGCAGGGCAAGACTGCAGGTTGCCTGGCTACTCTGTTTTAAGACCACTGCTATGCTGAGACCCACAAGCCTAGGTTAGGCACCTGACACCCATGCTCTCTATTGGGGAACTTAGTTCACACACTGTCTAGTTCTTGGTGATAAAAGTTGTAAGCTCTGGAGGTGGTCAGAATTTCCTGGAGTGTTCTCTGCCTGTTGCTAGTGAGAATGGTCAAAGTGATTCCCACAAGCCCAGATTTGGTGTAGGGTGAGGCTGAGGATTCAGAAGCCCCTGTGGTGGAATGGATAAGAGCTTTGAGCTCCTTGAGCTCACCAGGTGAGAGTGCAAAATCTCCTGGGGGTGTGAAGATACCCCATCCCTCTTGACTTAGTACACCATGGGCTATCCTGACATGGTGTCACTTGGAAATGCTAATTCTACCTTACCCCTTGGAGAGATGTGCTTGAGCACTCATACACACACACACACACACACACACACACACATTCTAAACAATGTGGGCACCACACCAAACTGTAGTACCTGAGAGAAATTTAAGTTTACCTTTAAGAGATGCTACAGGTTTTCCTCTAAAATCCGAGTAACTCTGCTGTTTTAGAGCTTTTCTCCACATTATTCCAGGTTCATCCTTTTTGTTAGTCACTTTATTATCATTAGTTTAAATTCAGCCATAACAGCCACCTTTGAGGCTCTGGTTCTTCCTCCTTCTTCCTTTGCCTCATTTCTTGTTCTCTGCTTTCCCTTTGATAGACCCTTAACAGTTCAGTGTATACCTTGATATTCTTCCAGTGTCCCTGCTACCTCAGTTTCTCTATAATTACTTCCTCCTCATCTCTAGTACTATTTTCAGAGATCAGATTGCCATCTAATCAAGAATTTTCTTATAGTCCCTTCATTTTTATTTCAGTAGTATCCCATGGTTGTCCTTTTCTCCCCTGCCACCACTCCTCCACTCTTTCCCCTCCTCTAATAATTTAAGTGTATTTTCTATTTCCACAGCACAGCACGTCCCTTTCTCTTTGACAGTGCCCCTCCCGGACACTGAATTAAGAATAGCCAATACAAGATAATTTCATAGTATATTCTGATGTCTCTTTCAATCCTCTCCTATCTTCTTTTGGAATCTCTTAATTTTTTAAGCATGTTGAGATATCCTCTTCTCTGTTCCACCCCCCCCCCCCAAATTGGTCACATAATGTTTTCCACATTTCCTAGTATCGCATGCTTTTTCTCTAGCACAGCACTGATGGAACTGCTAGTTTACATATTTCTCTCTCCCACACAATCTAGAACATTCATTGTAATGGGGCCTGCATATTACAGAGTATTCCCAGGGCCTATACTTGTTCCTCACATAACAGGTGGTCAATAAATGAACAAGGTGTGCTAGTTATTATGCTTTTATTTTTCTCTATATTCTGCAGTAACTAAGCAAAATCAGGGAAAATGTCAGTTTTCTTTACAAGACAACAGACACAAAGCGTTTCAGAATGGTCAGATATGAACAATTCCCTCACCTCCTCCCATTTTACTGGTTATTTCAAACTTTCAAAGAATAGCCCATTTCAATGATATAAATTCTGTACCACATCACAGAATATGATGGAACGACTTCATTTCATTAACGTTAGCAAGACTGTTATACTAAATCTTATCGACAGGAAAAAAAAAAAACAGAAAAAAAACTGTTCAATTATATATTTAAACATATTGTGATCCTTAATTAACAGTATTATAAAATGAATACAAGTTTACAATATCCAAAGCAAACACTCTATTTCGAAGTTAAACAATTAGCACTGATCACAAATACCAAATACAGTGCCCTCCCCCATTCACGTCATTTCAACTCCGGACCCAGGCCACTTACTCCTGGGGTATCTTGAACTCTCTTTTCCATTCCCTAGGGTCTACCTCAGATTTTCCTAGGGGGCAGAGTAACCTCTAGCACCTGAATTAAGTATAGCCTCAACCTCTGCATCGTCGTCCGAATCCCAATCATAATTACATGGCCAGTCCTTGGAGCATCGGTTACGAACCCTTGCCACAAAATGCATGACTTTCAGCTTGCTGGACTCCACGTGTGCTCGAGGGCCCCAGAAGAACTCGTACTCCACCGGACTGCTGCGGGGTACTGGCTTATAAATCAGGTACCCTCTGCGCACAAACTCTTCTGTAACGACCTTCTTCGGATCTCCAAAGATGCTATGCTGCCGCCCAGGCTGCATTCCTAACTTCCCCAGCACTTTCCACACCAGAGCCTCTTTTGCGCTGTTGCCCATGATGAAGATGAGGGCTAATATGGACATCAGGAGACTTTTCTTAGTGCCCTGAAAATTGCTCCGGGCTACCGAAGGCTTTTGCGCTAGGGCACTGCTAGAGGCTTCCTCGGGAGTGGTGGAGGCTTCCTCTGGAGTGCTTGGGTCTTCCTCCGGGCCGCTGAGGTCGTCTTCTGGGGTGCTCGGGACCACAGAAGCAGCCATTGGGGTCTCAGAGGCCTCTGAGGCCTGGATCTTGCGATTGTTGCGGTTCTCTTCTGCGGCCCTTGCATTACGGCGGCGCCGACTCTTCCTTCCCCGAGGCATGTCTCTTGCAAGGTGCTTAAAGCCTACACAGTCTTAGGGAAGGATGCCCGTAGCCTCTGTAGAAAGCAATTATCTCTATCCTAAGACGCAGCCGCGGCGGAAGCTACAAACGTCAATAGAGTCTTTGTAACAACAAACCAGACGTTTTCAGCCACAAAGCTCGTTCCCACGCAAGCTGACTTGCACTAGCAGTCGCTGCCGGTACTTGCCGCAGCTGCAAGCGCGCGAGAAAGCTCAGCAGAATCGACTCCACCCCCCCTGCCACGCACTCGCCGAACACCAAAGAGGAAGTGGGCCAGTCCTCCACAGGGACTTCCGCTAGCAGATAGGAAAAGGAGCTTGTTACGGCAGGGGTGGGACAAGGGTAGAAATGACGGCTAGGGATTGGTGGGGTTTGGGGTATGTACGGAGGAAAAGAATACCCAAACCATTCTGTATTCTTCAGTCCACTACAGACATTCCAAGATTGATTCGCTGGTTTTGGGGAAAGAGTGGGTCTCTATCCCATTCACACCGCACCAAAGGCCAGCTGGCGAGGGGGGAAGTCTGGGGGGGAAGGAGTTGTATTCTTGGAAGGAATCTTTTGACCCCAGCCCTCTTTTTTTTTTTTTTTTCTCTTGGCATATGCAGCGCATTCACTCACTCTCCCTGTTTTCAGAAAGCATTTATACTATACGTATCTAATTAATTCTTAGGCTCATCTAGGACCTGGATAATAATGTTATGGCTAAAGTGCTGGGCGATGAGAGGACATAGGAGTGCAAAGCCAGTAGTGTGAAAAAGGTGCAGAGCCTTTACAATGTTCTACGTTCTCAGGGGTTACTAAGCAGGGCAGTAAGAGGATCAGACCTCCATTTGTGCAGCCTCAAGGAGGGGCAGCCTATCTCCTGGCAGACCACATAGGAAGCAATTAAAATAAGATGCAAGAGGCATGAAAGTGAGCCTTGAGGCTGTTGCTATGGGGATGGAGACAGGCATTTTGAGGGTGACCACTGAAAGGCTTAGGAGACTATATGGAAATGGGGAATGGGGTGGGGGCAGGGGAGTGCAGGTTGGCTCCAAGGTTTCCAGGCTCCAGTCTCCCTGAGTACCTCATTTATTTTGCTTCTTTCAGAGCATACTCTGAACTTTGCTCACTTGTTTTCTCTGCCTAAATCACCTTCTCTCTCTTCTCCAACTATCTGAATTCCATCTGCCTGCTCAGAGGCATCTTTCTCCCTGAAGCTTATCTTGGTTGGTCTAAAAGGGTATTGAGCCAGTTTTTGCTGCCCTGAGGCAGGCCCTAGAGCTAGCATTTTGATTTTTTTTTTCTCATGTCATTGCAGGTATTAGCTTGCTCAAGTCACTTTACTTCTCGAGGCTGTTTTCTCACCTGAAAAATGGAGGTGAAGTACTGGCTTCATAGGATTGTATGAATGAAAAGCCTTTTTCACATAGCAGGCACAGACAGAGCAGGCCTCTCAAGGTGTTGAAGCAGTGTTGAGAGTGTGGCATTTAATAAATTCATGTTGAAAGAATACATGATGTTAAAGTTCTTACATGTGTTCTTAACTCTTAAAAAAGGCAAGTGAATGTTTTTTTCCTGTTTGGCTGGAAGAGATTAAATGCTTGCTCAACAGAGGCTCAGTTTGTAGTCCCACTTGGGGAAAGGCCCTGTCTAGCCTATAGTCTTTGATATTTCTTGGCCTTTATTGGAGTTTGTGATATAGAATATGGCTGCATCTGGTGAATGAATTCTATATGATAGGCAATGTGTATCACTGGGAAAGCAGAATTGGCAGCCAAATTGTACCCAGCGAGGTCCAGACATCTGCACTTGTGTAGAAAGTGGGTGCTTCCGTTGGAGAAACAGGCATTGAATTCAAACCTAGGAACATGAGTTTTGACCCATTCTAAGTCACTTACATGTACTTTAACCTTGATAAGTTCACCTAATATCCATTCCTTTGATTTTTCTCTGTAGAAACAGAAAAGGCTGATCTCTCTAGCCTTGTTTGCCTGACTTATAAGTTTCTCTAGAAGTCTTACAGCACACACCAGAGGTTCTGGATTACAGTAGGTTCACCTGAGTTCAAGATTGATTGATTCATTCATTCATTTATTAATTCATTCCTTGTTGTATTTGAAATTCTTTATTCCTAGTATACTGCAAAATTGGGAATATTTTTTAAATTGTTTACCTATTCTAATTTGATAGCCTGGGAATGTAATAAGGTAAACTTATTCTCTTCCAAAAATTCACTTTCTTACTGAAAATTTATTTGTAGGCAATGTCTATTGAGACTTCCTGTTTGATAAATCTAGCCATATACATATTTGAGGTAGTGCATATCTGTTGCTTCACTCCTGCCCACAAACCAGCTGATTAAGCAGAGGGTGCCATTTCCCTGTCATGGCCTTCACCTGAGTGAACCTTTGCTCCAATACAAAACAAGGACAAAACAGCTCTTTTTTTCCATCCTGGATGGGTATCCTTATGTAATGTCTAGCCTAGGGCCTCAGCTCTAAAATCAGTTTCTCCAAAGATGTCATTAGGAACAGAGGTCATTGTGGGCTACTTGCAGTGTTTCCCAAAGCTTAATAGTCACATTTATGTAAGACAAGGCCAAAGAGGTTATTATTCAATAAACACAGTGTATTTAATAGTAAAAATATCACCAGATATGGTATTAGCAGGAGAAAATCATAAAGTCATATATTGAGACACTGGGGATCTGTTATCTGTTTTGAGGAAGTAGCACAGGAAGTAGAGAGGGCTTAACTAGTTTGTCCAGGAACATAGCTCTTATGATGTCAGTATTTAAACCCATATCATCAGTTTCATGAACTCTGGCTTCTGTAATCATACATCAAAGCTGCTCCATCCAATTCAGTGTATATTGGGTGGTTCAACGAGGTTTAACAGGGAAGAGAGTGTTTGTGTTCCCGTAAGATAGGAGCATAATGGAAAGAGAAGAGAAAAGGGACAGATGTAGGAAAAGCTGACCAGGATTTCCATGTTCAGGATTTCTACACTTTTCAAGCGGTGTCAAGTCCAGAATATTACTTATTCATTCTAAGCCCAAATTTCCCCCTCACAAATGGATAGATCATAGTGGTGTTATGAAAATTAAAGGGTAATGGCTTATGCAAGTTGTGGCAGACCTTCAGTCATCAAAGATGTGATGGCTTCCTGAAGGGGAACACTGAATTTTTATGCAGAATATCTGTATCCCAGTACCAGACCCTTTGCTCACTACACCATCTTCCTGAGCCTCTTGCTCTCCTTGCTTTATTTCTAAAATTATGCCACATAATCCATCTAGCCTTAGTCATAAAAAAGGATTTCCACAGTGTGTCCTATTGATCTAGAGAGAGGCAATAGTGCCTGATGCTTAAAGGCATGGACTTTGAAGGGAGATTGCTTAGGATCAACTCCATATTTGAACATACATGTTAATACATGTTAAGTGCTAAGAACAGCATTGTGTTTGCTGTATATGTTCATTACTAATAACTCTGAGCTGTTGAGTAGGTGTTTCCCTAAAGTGTTTCCAGTTATATAAAAAATTTAGCACTATACTCAGGATTCATTTTCAACATCCAAATTCCTTGGCTTTTTGTGGGGGAGGGTACTAGGGGTTGAACTCAGGGGCACTTGACCACTGAGCCACATCCCCAGCCCTCTTTTGTATTTTATTTAGAGACAGGGTCTCACTGAGTTGCTTAGCACCTCCCTTTTGCTGATGTTGGCTTTGAACTCGCAAACCTCCTGCCTCAGCCTCCCAATCCAATGGGATTACAGGTGTGTGCCACTGCACCTGGAACCTTGACGTTTTTATATTATCATTTTTTAATATTCTCATTGACTTCATATAACCTCTTTTCCCATAGTATCTATTTCAGAGTTAAATAGTATTAGCAGTAACAATGGCTATGTGCCAGACATTTTATTCATATAAGAATCATATTTAGGGGCTGGAGATGTGGCTCAAGTGGTAGCGCGCTTGCCTGGCTTGTGCAGGGCCCTGGGTTCAATCCTCAGCACCACATAAAAATAAAGATGTTGTGTCCACTGAAAACTAAAATAAATAAATAAATATTTAAAAAATTCTCTCTCTCTCAAAAGAATCATATTTACTGAACATCTATTACATGCTAGGCACTGGAGTTTTAAGGGTAAGGTCACAGTCTATTATTAGTATAGAGAAAAAATTTAAAAGTGGAGTATAACAGGTGCTGACTTTGATTAGGAGAATCTTAGATGAGGCATACTGACTTTTGGGTTTTCCAAGTAGAAACCCCTGGGAAATGAGCCTAACTTCATGTACCCAAGGAAGGCATATATGAGTAACTAAGTGAATGTTAGACTGAGAACTGAATGTTTAGTATGAGTTAAGTAGGAGAAGAGTGAAGAAAAGTGTTCCATACAAATATAGTAGAATGTTTGAGGACCTGAAAACCGAAATGAACACACACACACACACACAGGATTTTTAGTGATTGTAAACCACTTTCCCTAAGAGCCAAGTTTTATTTCCTTTATCAGTGTGATCTGAGGATTTTGAGGCACACTGTGTTAGTTTTTCATCACTGTGACCAAATTCCCTAAAAAGAACAACTTACCATAGAAGAGGAAAAGTTTACTTTGGCTTATGGTTTTCAGAGAATCAGTCCTTGGCCAGCCAGCTCCAAGGCTCTGGGCCTGAAGGGAGGCAGAACATCTTGGTGTAAGGATATGGCAGAGGAAAGCTGTTCACTGCATGACAGCCAGGAAGCAGAGAAGGAGAAAGGACGGGTGAGGGAGGGAGGGAGGGAGGGAGGGAGGGAGGGAAGAAGAGGAGGAGGAGGAGGAGAAAGAAGAAAAAGGAGGAGGGGGAGGGGAGGGAGGAAGGGGAAGGAGAGAGAAAGGAGAGGAAGGGAGGGGAGAGGAGGGAAGGGGAGAGGAAAGGAGAGAAGAGAAGAGAAAGGGTTTGTGAAGAAACAAACTTTTCTGTATCCTGCTCCACTGACGTGCTTCCTCCAACTAGGTCCTACTTGCCATTGGTCCATAAATGGACCACTGATGAGGTGGAGCCATCCTGATCCAATCAAGTCTCCAAAACCCCATTTCTGAATACATGAGATATTGGAAGATATTCTAGATTTACAACATCACACACAGAGATATTTTAGTTCATAATGTTAGATAATGTACTGTATAGCTGTACAAATTTGTTACACTATGACCTTACTACTGAATATGTATTTATTTACTTTTAGAATCAATAAATGCTATTGTCCTCATCCTGAACACATTTA